CAGGTCATCTCTGTTAGTTTTCCCATAATTGTACTAGATCAGTAGTCAAGTGAAACGACAGATTCATCACTGATAGAATCTCTGTCCCCGGCTGACAATTCTTTAATTTGTGTGCCTTTGTGGCCAGAGCCATTATTTCTAATTGCCTTTTGATCCTGAGGCAGGTCATCTATCTTTCAAAACATTAAATTTAATCTTTATGTTAGATGCTGATGGGGAATTTGTTCTGGAGTAACTATTGGACTAGTTTCACAAACTTTAGTAACTTCGGAAAAAAAAAATCTTAAAACACTCATCAGAATGGAAAGTAGAAAGCAAATAATGATGTCTTTCTAGTAACATAAGGTTGTTACAAGATGTCCAGTGATAATTCTGATTATTTAGGTCCTTCAGTGATTTGACTCCTTAAAATATGACAAGTTTGCATCTTCCAAACAATTTAATTGTAAACATTTCTGATGACTTCAGACAGGAGCCTCTGAACTTTTTTCCATTCACCAATTATATAACTAGCTCCTCTGTACTAGGAACTGGGGACCAAAGATGAATCAGGGTTTTCCAGGGAAACAGAAGCACTAGGATCTATAAAGATAGCTGAGAGATTTAGTATGGATTTACTGTGGCTCATGTGATTATGGAGGCCGAGAAGAGCCACATCCTGTCATCTCTAAGCTGGAGAATAAAGAAGCAGCAGGTATAACTCAGTCTGAGTCCGAGGGTCTGAGCAGGAGCTTCAATCCCAGGTCAGGCCCTTCCACTGCCTCTGTTCTATCTGGGCCTTTAGCCAGTTGGGCTGGATGACGCCCACCCCACTCTGGGAGAGCAGACCTTGCTTACACTGCCGACTGATTCAAATGCTAACACCCTCACTGGCACACCCAGAAATCATGTTTCACCAGCTCTCTGGGCATCCCTTAGCCCAGTCAAGCTGACACATAAAACTAATCATCACACCAGTATAAGGGTAGTACCCAATGCTAGTGAGCTATAGGGAGTGTCTAAATTGATAGAACCTTTTTAGAGATCAGTCTGGAATCATATATTAAGTGTCTTAAAAATGTTCAAGTCCTTTGATCCTGTAATAATTCCAATGTAAGGAACTTATCTCAGGAACACAATTTCACAAAGATGATTTTACCCATAAAGGTGTTCGCTGTCTTGATTATTTAAAGCCAGGGAAAGCAGACAGCTGAAGTAGCCAGTGAAAGGGAACCATCATCTTTTTCCTCATGTTTCTGTCTCAGTGATTGAAACCTTCTGCCTTCTTGGGGAAGGAGTGGGGGAGACACTTCAACCATTCTCTCTACCCCACACTCCTTACACTCAGGGGAGACATGTGTCTTATCAGATGGGTGAAAATGGGCAAAGGTGACTGACTGCACATGAGTTGTCTGCTATCTGCCTGGACCTCCCAGGCTGCAGCCCACCACAATCTCTGTGCATGCAGCTGGTGGGGCCAAGTCTCTAGATCAGCAGGCACAGGCTCCTCATGCCAGATTTAGGGAAGAGAGCCTGGTTTTGGCTTCCAGAGCATACCACCCATGGTGCATTAACTGAGAAGAGTTTGTCCTAGAAACCAGTGTAAGAGAGCCGAACAGGGCCCCTTGAAGCCGCTTCAGCAGCTGACGCAGGCTGACTCACAGCTGCTTCTAATATTTGGGAGCCATGGAAACAGGCTTTACAACTCAAGTGGGTCATCCTGGCTGAGTATGGTGAGATCAGTGTGACATTTGAGTCACTGTGAGGCTTGGTGTCATCCAACCCTCGCCATGTGACACTGTGACTATGATGTATACATGCAGAGCTTGGGCACTGTTGCAGAAAAAGCCTGAGGCAGATATTTTATTATTGAATAGGGTTTCCCCTGTATCATGTGAAACAGGTATAAATCTTGGCCCACACACACACTTGTTTGAGAATAATAAATGCATTTTCTATAATGCCATCAGTTTTGATTTCATGGCTCCTTTGGTCCCTGAGGTTTCCATCACATCTCTGGCACAGTGGGAATTCTGTGGTGACAAGGTATGGAGAGAGAGAACATTTGGTCCTCGATCATGAGCCTGTACAGGTGACCACTGAGAAATCGGCTATCTGGGGCCCATTCAGATTTGTGGCTATCTCAAAGCGCTGTCCTTTGAAAAACGAGCTTCTGTCATGTTTTGACTTAGACTATCCTGATTAGAAAAGGTGGGATAAGAAAATTCCTGCCCATTCCAAAGTAATAAATAGCACCCCAGTTAACCCAAGGAGTGTTATGCGGAGTTGCTGAGAATCTTGACAACTGCCCCAGCCCCACCCACCTGTATGCCAGGAAGAAAAATAAAAAAACTTTCCATTTTCTGCCTCCTTTGCCCCCACGTCCCATCCAGTCTGCACGTTGGGGACTGGCTAGTGTAGGGTCTGTGCTGTCCAATGCTCTGCCTTCTGAGACAACTGCTGTAGTGGTTTTGTGGGACTTTCTAAGTTCTGTGGGCATGCGGCTGGTAATATATTGTGTGTCCTAGTGACTCTTTGAAAAAGTGGGACATACAAGAAATTTTGGGTTGGATCCATTTGCTTAGGGAGTGACACCCGTTCTAAGAGCCTAGGCAGCAGCTTCTTGAGGAAACCCAGGCACCTGACTGAGATGCTTCTGACTCAAACAGAGCAGGTCAAGGAATTAGGGGGGGCAGAATTTTGAATTTGAATTCTGTTGGCTTTTCACTTAGGTGATTTCACATTCTCACTGAGAATCTAATGAGTTAATACTACTATTCCAATGTTTATCACCATAGATTGGTTTTTCCTGATTTTGAACTTTCTATAACTAGAATCAGATGGTAGAGAATCTTTTATGTTTGACTCTTCCCCTGACATTATATCTGGTACTCATTCGTGTTGTTAGGTAGAGCAGTAATTCATTATTGTTTGCAGCTCTGTGTAGTTTTCACAGAATAAACTGACCACAATTTATTTCCCATTCTATCCTTGACGGAGTTGGCTGTTTTTAAGTGTGGTGATGTGTTCTTACTGTAAAATAATACAGGACCTGGGACACACTAGGGAACAGGAACAGCAGAGTCATGTCACCTATCTCATGCTTACTGAGCAGACATATGGCTATTGAAATGGAAGTCCTAGTTTTCCCAACTATTTACAATTATTGGCCCTGGCTGGGTAGCTCATTTGGTCAGAGTGTCGTCCCTTTACACCAAGGTGACAGGTTTGATCCATTGTCAGGGCACATACAAGAATTAACCAGTGACTGCATAAATAAGTGGAACAACAAATGATGTTTCTGTCTTTCTCCCCCCTCCCTTCTTCTCTCTCTAAAAATCAATAAATAAAATAATTAATTTCTTTTTCTTACAGGAGGTGTAGTTAAGTTTGCATATGTTAAAATGTGTGACTCCACTCATTTAGGGTGTCAAAAGTTAGAAGGCCTTGAATACTAGGTGAGTTTAGATTTGGTCCTGCTGGTCAAATGTGAGTGTACTCTTGCAAAGGTATCTGTGATTTGTTTTTTAAAACTTATTTCTATCTAAGCTTCTTACTCTTACATGAGACACATCCAGGTATTTATAGGTAATGTCCCTCTGATTCATGTAACAAGTCTTCCAACCCCCTCAATGCACTTCTCCAAATACTGTCTGATTCAGTAAAAGGCACAACCATCTACTCAGTTCCTTATCCAAAAAAACCTAGGAATAACCCTTGATTGCTTCTCTCAGTAGCCTCTTCACCCTGCACAACCAGATCCATCTAGCCAGTCAGTCACCTGTCTCCACAAAGGCTGCAAAGCTGGCCACTCCTCCCAGCCCCATGCTACCACTCTGCTCTAAGGGGCGTTTCCTGCCTGCACTAATACAACAGCCTCCTGACTGGTTGCCTTACCTCCACACTCTTGTCCATCCCTCAATACCCTTTCATCCACCGGCTTTTTAAAGTCATAAATCAGCCTATGTCATTCCTTTTCTTTCTTTTTTTGAAAAATAAATAGATCTTTATTGATTTCAGAGAGAGGAAGGGAGAGGGAGAGAGAGACAGAAACATCAATGATGATAGTCATTGATTGGTTGCCTCCTGCACACCCCCTACTGGGGATGGAGCCCACAACCTGGGCATGTCCCCTGACAGGAATCGAACTGCAATCTCCTGGATCCTAGGTCAATCCCCAGCTGGCTGTCATTCCTTTCCTTAAGCCTCCCAATAGCTTAGTATCTTAAGTGTCTCAAATTCGTCTCATCACACTTCAACCTAGACTCCCTATAATGGCCAACTTAGCCATTCTGGGTCAGGGCTGGGTCTCTCTAGGCCCACCCCAGACCACCTGCCCTCCAGCAGCATGCTCCAGGCCCCCTGCAGGCCTTCTGTCTTTAGGACACACCCAGCTCCTTTCCACTTGAAAGTTTGTGCCCTAGCTGCTTGGAAGGTCACCCTGCCCCGCCAGTCTTTATATGACTGGCTTCTGTTCTCACTAATCAAATCTCAGCCTCAGCTGCTTCTCACTGAGCAGCCTACCTGACCACTCAATCTAAAGCAGTCACTTTCTAGAACATTATACTATCTTAATTCTCTGCATAACACCCATCACAAAGAATATTTTCTTATTTATTTGCTTGGTCTATCTCCATCTGCCTCTGAAATGTAGGCTCTTTGAGAATCTTACTGCAGCATCCCACTGCCCAGAAAAATACCTGGTCCATAGTGAACACTGAATAAATATTTGTGTCGTAGACGTGAATCTGATGGCAAGGACACATACAGTAGGTGAACCCTTCCCCCAAATCGGAGTCTGAATTCTGGGTCTCTAAGAACAAACAGCAGAAAAGACACAATTGCTCTTTGAAAATGACAACAGGAATGACTCTCTGCAGGAACTTTCTGCTTCTACTGATCCTTATATTTTAAAACGTCTACTATATGGTAATGCAGTGTTTTATTTACCCTGTCCGTTAATAACTAATATTTGAGAACATTTACAATATTAATGGAGCTTAATCTAAGAGAAGTTCAACTTTCATTTTTCAAAGTATTTTAATATCAGGTATTAATAAGAGAGATAATTATGGTCAAAATTATTATGTTGAAACTTTAATAATAAACGTTTGATGGCAATGTACACACAGTTCAGCTTTTGGTGTAAGGCTCTTTGGCTGTAAGAAAGAACATCTGGTTTACTTCACTAATAGGAATATCTCTTAGTGCTGGGATGGCCTCTTCTTGGTATTTCTTCTGCTGCTGATTTTTAGCATAGTTATCTGCAAGAAGAGGGCACAGGCTCTGATTCCCCACAATTCCTCCTACTGTCCCTGTGGTTTACGGAGACCCACTATATATAACTTATTAGGCTAGTGCTCGGATAATGACAAATACCACATTCAAATATAATTAAAAGATTACTTGAATTCTCTCTTTAGAAGAAATGTCCCAGTTAGAATAGAAATTAGCAAGGTACTTTTTCACATCTCTAAGTTGGATAAGAAATTAATATTTCGTTCATCGGTATGATGATGATTAAAGTCTCATTTGCCCATTTTTCATAGGAACAGAATTCTATTCAGGCTTAGACAACATATTTAAATCAACAACCAAAAACTATTAAGTCTTTTGGTACAATCATTCATACCAACGTAACACTTTTCCCTCTCTGCACAAATTGTTATTTCCAGTCAAGAATACGGGGAATACGATAGGTTATCAGAAAAAAATATAAAAATACTATAATTGATTTTCAAAATACATTGTATAGGCTCACAGAAAAAGGTTTTAAAAACTTAAAAATCATACTTGGAAACTTAAGAAGTACTCCACTTCCTACAATCTAAGAAAGCTTAGGAGTCTGCTTAATTTATTTCGATATTTAGACTTGGGAAAAAAAACTTTAAAAAAAAAAGCAAACTGCAAAAATGTGCCGTGGGTCATCTATCCCCTTACTAGAGTCAGGTATATACAGGGATCCTGAGGACACCCCCACCCCAAAGTCCCTCCTTTTGGACAAGCCCTGGAAAGACCTATGTGCCACCCTTCCATCAACACTGCCTGTTTAGGATAAAGAAGTTTCTATCAGGCAAAGTTGAGGAACATATTATACTTGTGGTTTTTATGGGAAAATACACCTGTTAACTAGTGCTATGAACAGCATATTTATCAGAACTTATTTCCCATGTAAACATGCCTGTGGGGTAACTGCATTACTTCTCCTAAGTTCTTTTTACTGTGCTGAGGTGTCATTATTGCAGCCTGTTCTTGGTTACTTTTCTTGATAAAAGCACCAATATCCTACTCCTCTGCCCCCCAGCACTTCCCATGGGTATAAATTTACCTGTGATTGTATGAATGGAGTTGAGCGGTGAGGTACTCATCATGTTTACTCCAAATAAGAGTACATACCCGATTACTATAGTAATGAGGAGGTAGACGGGCAATGCAACTGCCCAATACCTGTAGGAGAGAAAGCTCAGTAGGTAACAGACTTCCCCAAAAGTTGTAACTCTTACAAATAATTTAATTTTATTAAAGTAATACATGTACATAAAAGACAGTCAAACAGTTCTACAAGGCCTGTAATGAAAAGCTGCAACCTGCATCTGGCCCATCCCGATCCTGGAACCTTATCTCCTAAAAGGGGTGTTTGTGCCTGAGCTATTTCTTCTGGTATTTACCTCTACATCTGTACACAAGGTACTCATATTATAATTGCTTGTGTTTTTTCCAACTTTCAGACATTTTCTCTGCACTTCCTAAGACGGAGATGAGCAACTGAGCTCTTTCACTCTCTCACCTTCCTCTTGTCCTTAGTATACTTACTTCACAATTTCTGGTCATATTCAGGTTTTTAATATTGTGAGTGTATAAATAATGCTTGCAACTGAGCACCTTGGTAGTATTATATGTTTTCTGATACAATTCTTTGCTTTTCCTGGAAGTAGAATTTCATCTTTTTGTGTGTTTGCTTATGTTCCATGCACCTATCAGTCCTCGATTCTCCAACACGACTCCAATATGCTTCTCAATGCAGCTGAGCACATTGGGTGACTGCAGGTTTGAACTGGGTGCATTGTTTCTTTAGACATTTTCTTCCTACTGTTTTCTCTTTCTGGAACTTCTAAGAGGTAAGGTTTTTTTCATCGTTACACTTTCCTCATTTTTTCTCTATGTTCCATTTTGCGTCTTTTGTTCTACTTTCTGGAGATTACCTCTGGTTTATCTTCTAACCCATCAATTAAAATTTCTATTTTTGCTATATTTATAATTTCCAAAAACAGTAGTAATTTTCTGTAAACATTCCGTTTTTTATAGCATTCTGTTCTTGTTTCATAGTTATCTTGTTCTGTTCCTTCCATAGCTCCATTCCCTTCAAGTTCCCTTTTTTTTCTTTTGCATTTTAGAGGCTTTTAAAAAATGTCTGATAAGTTATGGTTGTCCACTCACATTTAAAAATGAAGTGCTAACAAGGTAATTGGAAGCACTGTATATATGTGGGCCAGGATGGCCAACTGGCAAGTCTCACTGTAGGAGACTTGGACATTTCACTGGGGGACCTCCGGATGTCAGAGATTACAGACCCTTTCCCCTGAGCTGAGCTTTAAATTTCTATATGCCTATTTATGGATTTTAAGAAAATAAATACTTAAAATTTGAGTAGTCTTAAGGAAAAAATCTGATCCTTCAAAACAGCATTAATATACTCTTATTTTATTTAAGCAATATATAAAACTTACTTTTGAGGCCAATAGGTTAAGCTTAAGGCGTTTAGCCAAGACTCAGGAACAAAAGCCCACACGAGATACAGTACTGTAAAGAAAGAAGGAAAGGTCAGTGAGCATGTATCTCATCTACTGAGGGTCACATCAAACAAAAAGCTCTCGTGAAGCTTCCCCGATTCACTCAGAAATGATTTTTCCCTCCTTTCAATATCTGAAGGGAGGGAGGTTTAGAAGACGTCATGAGGATGGGGCCCCCGTGATGGGATTGGTGTCCTTTTAAGAAAGAGACCAGAGCTTCCCTATGTTCTCTCTCTCTCTCCACTATGTGAGGACAGGGAGAAGGTGGCTGTCTGCAAGCCAGGAGGAGGGACTTCACCAAGAACCAAACCGTCCTGGCACCCTGATCTTGCACTTCCAGCTTCCAGGCTGTGAGAAAAAAATGTTTACTATTTAAGCCACCAGTCTATGGTATTTTGTTAGAGCAGCCTGAGCAGGCTAAGACAATTACCTTATTTTTAAATCAGGGACTATTTTAATGTAGAGAGAATTATGACACCCTCCTGCACCCCCCACCTAGATTTATCATAACTGTTGGGTACTGACCTGTGACCTTCTCTATCTACTTTCTGCCTCGCTTTCTTAGGCTTCAACCTTCCTAACCTCCATCTGTTCCCTGAACCCACAGGCATGCTTCTTCCTAAGGGCTTCTATACTGGCTATTCTGTGCCTGGGAGGCTCTTTCTCCAGGTCACCACATGGCTAATTCGCACTTTTCACGCCTGTGCTTAACCCTCACCACACAGTGGGACACTTCCAGGCTGCTGTACTTCAAACAGCAGTCTCCTTCCACTTTGCATCCTTCCTTGCTTAATTTCTCCCCACGGTACATTACCACCAGACACTGCGTATGTTACATTTACTTCATTTGTCCGCTGGCTTTCTTGCCCCACTAGAATGAAAACTCTATGAAAGCAGATTTTGGCTGCTTGTTCCTCCTTTGCCCATAGCAGTGCTCTCAAAAAAAATTGTTGAATTAAATTTTGTTGTGGGTATTATTGGGTTTAAGTCTTAAAGTTATTGCTTTTATTATTTATTTGTATAGTTTCTAATCCTCCAAATATACTATAGAACACAAATTTTAAAAAGTGATATTGATTATGATAATAATAGTAACAGCAGCTAACATTTATTAGCAGTTATTGTCCCTATGCATTGTTTTAAGTGCTCTGCATAAATTATGGCAATTGATCCTCACAACAGCTGTAAGAGGCAGCAAAGTGAAGCCAACACAGTGTCTGGGTTCTTTTTTTCTCTTCTTTTTTAAAATTAATTAATTTTTAAAAAAAATTTTATTTTTGTTTAAAGTATTACAGATGTCCCTTTTTCTCCCNCTCTTCTTTTTTTAAATTAATTAATTTTTTTAAAAAATTTTATTTTTGTTTAAAGTATTACAGATGTCCCTTTTTCTCCCCAATGACCAGTTCTCCCCCGCCCCCCGTTCCTTCCCCTTCCCCAGTCTATGCTAAGTGAAATAAGCCAGGCAGTGAAAGAAAAATATCACATGATCTCACTTATATGTGGAATCTAAAGTGTCTGGGTTCTGATCCTAGCTCTATCAGTTACTGGCTGCATGACCTTGGGCACGTTATGTAAACCCGTGTCTCAGTATTCTCGCCAGTAAAATGGGAACAATAACAACATCTACATCACAGGATTTTCTCGTGAACGATAAGCACTGGATAACATTATCACCAGGTTTTTACACATGAAGAACCTGAAGGCCCAAAGAGGTTAAGCAAACAGCTAATCTGTGGAAGAGTTGACCTCTGAACTCAAGTTATAACTTCACTCCATAGACTCCCCTACCCAACAGCTTGGCTGGTTCTACTGATGCAATTAAAATTCACACCCCCACCTCCCTACTTTCCACAAAAATCCTAAAAAGTTGGATCATGGGTACCCAATTTTCTCCCTCTTGTCCCCTCATAATTCTCAAATCCTTTCGGGGAAAAGATGTAGGGCCTGCTGTGTGACTTGGGCGATTAGTGTCTCTGTGAGCATCAGTTTCTTTATCTGCACAATGGGATGTTACAGGGATTGAGTGAGATCCATGATGTAAAGCACACCTGACTTCTCCAGCCTAATTCCCTTCACTCCCCAGCTCCCACAGCTAGCACAGCAGCCTCTCCCAAATCCTCACTGCAGGCCTTCCCACTTCCTCCTCCTTACTGCTGGGAAGAAAGCTACCTGATGTCCCAGTCTGTCTCTCCACGGGGCTCTCAGGGCACATCACACTGAGTATTAATTGTAGATTGACTTGTCCGTCTTGTCCATAAGACCATGACCACTGGGACCAAGTTTTATTCACTTTGCAATCCTGCCTGGTGTTGTATAAGTCTTTTAGGCTAGTACCTCACATATAGAACACTCTGAACAAACATGAGTCCCCTTCACATTTTCCTAAAAAGAGTTATAGGTAGAAAGAATGACGGTTCATGTGTCACGTTCTAATAACAAATGCAATAATTTCCTTGTCCTTGACCACCAGAAAAAGGCCGCGGCCATCCATCAGAAAAAGTACTTACTGAAGCCAAATTGGGAGCTTAAGAAAAGAACAAAGCCATAAATCGCTCTTTCTGGCAATGGCGACGGTGAATTTTCCACCATGTTCCCTGTGGATTTGAGACAATCTGTGGGAAGGAAACACAATCACTGTTAGCGACGGACTCCCCTCATTGGTCTGTTGTAAGCTCGTCGCTCTGCTGCGGGCACAGCCTCTGCGGCGTTTTTTGCAGCCCACATCACTGCGAACTGCCATCCCGCGCACACACCTCCAGCCCACGCCCGCTGGCACGCGAGCACACCA